GAAGAAGAAGAAGAAGAAGAAGAAGAAGAAGAAGAAGAAGAAGAAGATAGCAGGAGGGGAAGAATGAAGTGGGGGAAATTGGAGGGGGACACGAACCATGAGAGACTGTGGATTCTGAGAAAGAAACTGAGGGTTCTGCGGGGGGTGGGCGGGTTAGCCTGATGATGGGTATTAAGGAGGGCACGTTCTGCATGGAACACTGGGTGTTATACGCAAACAATGGATCATGGAACACTGCACCAAAAACTAATGATGTAATATATGGTGATTAACATAACATAATAAAAAATAAATAAATAAAATAAAACAAAAAACAAAATTAACAGTGGATACTATGCAATCTCAATTAAATCACAAGAGGTATTTATGGGTATTGACAAGAAGAATCTAGTTTGTATAGAAAGTCAAAATCTGCAAATAGCCAAGAGACACTCAACAGGGTGAACAAATTGGGAGAACTTGTCAAACACCATTATTAATAAACTCTTATTATAGAGTTGACGCAAATAAGACAGTGAATACATTGTGTGGCATGGTATTGTATGGTATGGATGGTATGATATGGATGGGATGAGGTGAGATAGGATGGGATGGTAGTAATTCTAAGATAGGGTAGGGTAGGGTAAAATAAAATAGTAGAGAAAAATGACAACTGATAGGCATATAATTGATATTATAAGAGATTATATTCTAAATCAGTGGGCAATAGATAGACTTTAAAATAAATCTTACTTAAATGATTATCTGTACTGAAAAGTTATGTCCACATTAAAGACCTAAATATAAGAAGCAAAAATATAAAATTTACCGAAGACAATGTAGAAGAATATAAAATTGGATATGGAATTATTTCTTTAAAAATACTCATCATCTTGATAAATATATTTACATTAAAATTAAAAATCTCTATAAATCCAAAATTGTCATAATAGTAGTGAAACAACAACACAAAGAGATGGAGAAGGTATTTGTCGCACATATAACCAACAAAGGTCTCATATCCAAAATATATAAATAATTCCTAAAAGTCATTAAAATACAAATAGCCTAATAGAAAAAATAAACAAGAAGCTCTAACATATTTTTCACAAAAGAAGAAATCCAAGTAACTTGTGAACATATAAAAAGGTGCTTAATCTCATTTTGTAGCAGAGAAATGCAAATTAAATCTGCAAAGTAAAAAAAAAAAAGCCTAAAAAAACTAATTGTTGGAAAACACATAACTAGTAAGACTCATATTTTGCTGATTGAAATACAATTTGGTACAACCATTTGGAAAACAATTTTACATGCAGTGGACTTGAAGATATGCATTTATATGATCCTTCAATTACATTCCTAAATGCTTGCTGTATAGAAACTTGTACAAGGATAGTCAGAGTAGTGTTTTTCTTAATAGTCCAAAACTGGAAACAGCCCATGTGTCCAACAACAATGGAATAGATAAACTCTAATACCTCCATACAGTGGAATATAGTACAGTGCTGAAAAATAATGAACTACATGTATACACAGCAACAAAGATGAATCTCAAAACAATCTTGAACAAATGAACACAAGAGAATACCTACAGAATTGTAGCAAGCAAAGCTTGCTTAATACATAGATTGGAAAAATTATAAAGCAAATCAAGAAAGTCAAGGTTATAAAATTTAGCATAGTGGTTATCCCTGAGAGAAGAGACTTTAGCACAGGACTTCTCATGTGCAAGCTGTGTTCTATTTTTTTTAATGATTAGAGGTCAAATGGAATATGTATTTATATTTGTATTTATATAATAATTTTAAACAATTTATGCATAATTTATATAATATATAATCTTTACATACTTATAATTACTGATGAATCCTAAAATTGTAAACACCTGCTATATGCAATATTTTGTGTACATTGTATATATCACAACAAAATAAAATGATAAAAAGAGCTTTGTGTGCTCACTTGGCAACACATATACTAAAATTGGAATGATACAGAGAAAATTAGCATGGACTCTGCACAAGGATAAAATGCAGAGTCATAAAGTGTTCCATATTTTGCTTTCCTTTCTAATGATGAATGACAAAACTATGTCTCTGATAAGCAAAGTGACTTGACCAATTGAAGTCCCTTCCAGCTTCAAACCCCACTCCCAATTTCCCCTTCAAAAAAAAAAAAAGATGTTCCCCCAAATCAATATTTATATAAGTAGTTTAAAGCTAAAAATTAATTTTGGGGGCCTGGGTGGCTCAGTCGGTTAAGCGGCTGCCTTCGGCTCAGGTCATGTTCCCAGGGTCCTGGGATCGAGTCCCGCATCAGGCTCCTTTCTCAGCAGGGAGTCTGCTTCTCCCTCTTCCTCTGCCTGCCACTCCCCCTGCTTGTTCTCTCTCTGTGTCTCTCGCAAATGAATAAATAAAATCTTTAAAAAAAATAAAAATTAATTTTGTAGGGAAGACTGGTAATGCCTTTCTTGACTTTTTTCCTCACTAGAGTATAAATAGATTAATAATACTTTTATCTAACTTTTCAATTAAAAGTGAAATCAATGAATGGAGGCCCTGATTCATTTACAAATGAACTTCTGCTACATAAAATAAAAATCTATCTTTCTAAACAAAATATAATGAAAGATAAAAATTCTGCCTTAAGAGTTCAACCCTTGGTTTCGGCTCAGGTCATGATCTGAGGGCTGTGAGATTGAGCCTGGAGTTGGGCTCCATGCTGGTTGTGGAGCCTGCTTAAGATTCTCTCTCTCTCTCTCTCTCTCTCTCTCTCCCTGACCCGCCCCACCCTCTCTCTCTCTCTTTCTGTAAAAAACAATTGTGAAAGAAAATTTTTACTTATATTTACTAGTTTTTTATAGTGCAAGCAGTATTTTGATATATATTCAATATGTGATGTTAGCTCTGTCTGTAACAGAAGCATATCTGTATTCTTATTTGACAGGTAGAGAAATCATCAGAGGCAGAAATGTGTATGATAAGTATTTCTGTTTTGTAGCTATAAAAAAACAATGATTACAATGATACAAAAAATGTTTAATTGGATCCATCAAGCCTCTATCATTAGTGTATCAATATAATACCACTTACTGACTTCTTTTGAAATAAAACTAGTAAAGGAAATCAACCATATATTTGGCTCATGATTAATAAATATACATAAATGAGTAGAATTAGTGATGTCTTTTTACCAAGAGCAGAAGCTTTTATATATGTCAAGAACCTGAAGTCCAACTATACAAACAAACAAAGCAAAAAGCAGGTGGCAGTACGACCTGTTATACACTATGACCACGTTATTTTAAAAGCCAACCTACTTTCATCATCTGCCTCTCCATTATTCTATTGGGTGGGCCCTAGTTTGGATGACCTACTGTATTAACACTCCCTAAGGGAGTCTAGGTTGGATAGGGGAATATTTTCCAAGAGTAATTAAATTGAGAGAGTGAAACAGGAGAGAATCATGTCAATGGAAACTCCTTCATGGTTATTACTGAGCAATTGCTAAAAATTATTTGAAATAACTTGAAATCAATTAGGACTGTGTATCCTTGTTATCTTTTGGAAATTAACTTTTATTTTTTAAAGACACACTAAAATCCTCATATATTATGAAATAAAATACATTTAAAAAAAATACCTGTTATAGATTTGGAATTCTTTGAACAAGGACTTCCTGGACTCCCCCCAGAAAATTGTTCTGTCTAGTTTTGTGGTTAATCCTAGGATCCTTCCAGTGACCCCGTGGAACCTTGATGTTGGCCTGGATTTAGAGACTCTTACAGATAGTCTCACCTCCAGGATAGCTAAGTCTCGGCCCATGGCAACTGAGATAGCATTAACGTTATGCATAATCTTAATGAACCATAAGAGTTCATTTAACTTAAAAAATAGCAAAATGGCTAGAGTTATTAAATCCTTAATATATGTTAGGCATTATACATGTTCTATTACCTTATATTATCATATACATTTTAGGAGAAAAAACTGAGGCAGAGAGAAGGTAGGTAATTTGCCCAACATTACACAGTTAGTAAGTGAAAAAAAATTTATTACATGTAAGATAGATGCGAGGCAGATAAATGACTAAAGTGTAGACTCTTCAATATAGACTGAATTAATTTATCCTAGAATTAATTTTTCATATGTCACAATTCCAGAGCCTCTTCTAGTGAAAAATTAAGTGGTGTGCCAGATTCATTGGAAATGTAAAATGCAATCTTAGACAATGACTACTGGGTAGTTCTAAAAGTAATATCCTGTTAACACCTATTGTAACTTAGAAATGGGTAAATCTGCCAATGCCATGACAGTGAAGGATCAGTATTACTTATTTTTCTTTTTATCTCAGGTTCCAATACAGCTTGGCATAGCACTGTTACTGATCCTGTCATTTAAAACTTTTACATTTTGTTTAGGATTTTTGCATTAGTTTTTAAAATATTACATTAAAATATTATTTACCTTGATTCCTGAGATTTTTGTTGCCTCCTTAAATTTTGTGCCTAAAGTAAAATATTTCATTTGCCCCACTTGACTTACCCTAGTCCTGGTTCTGGTTAACAGCAAACATGGAGACACATTATACATTAATATGACTATACATATGACTACATGACTTTAACAACCTGCAATTTTCTTGACTTTTATGGCTCTCACAGAAGAAACTAAAGAACCACTCTTTATGTAGTATTTGGTGCTTTACTATAAAGATAGTGAAGAGTTTAAATTCAACTGTCCAATAGAAATGGCAAAGCATATCCTTTCAAGTAGAATCATATATAAGTTGAATACAGAAGACTTGTTATAATTGGTTAATATGCACAACTACATCGACTTTGTGAAAGAATGTTTCTGTTATTCCAGAGGGATTCACTTAAATATAGCAATTCTATAATATTGAAAATTGTATCTGCAAAATCTATAGATTTTAAAAGACAATTTAGTAACTAACTTCTTTATTTTCCTAAAGATCATTTGTATACTTTATGTATCACCCAACCCCCAAACAGACAAATTTTGAGAATTAATTTAAATGTCAGAAACTAGCAAGTATTTTTCATTCTAATACTTTTTTTTTTAGCCTCCCTACCATAAAATATAGTGAAATATGTAAAGGAGTGATTAGTGCTGCTGTTAGCCTTTGACCCTTACATACAGCGTTGGCTCTATTCCCAAAATTTCTGTTTTTAAAGTTTTGCAACAACAATCCTCTTCTTTATTCATGAAGTCATTTTCCTTAGTGATCAATTACATATTTGAATATATTTTAAAAGAATAGGAATGTTGCTTGTCACACACAAATGGATCTTAGAGAGTTACTGGTTTCATGCCAATGCCATCAACTTTCCAGCAACAGATTGGATTGGTTAAGGAAGAAGCCATAAACACCCTATCAACAAGTATTTATACAGATGTTAATGAATTTAAAATTCTGTTAGTGTAACATTTATGCCAAACTCCAATTTTATTTGTGCTTTATTTGTGAGGTATGATGCAATAACTTCTTTTAATAAACATGTACAGACCACTTATACTTTAAAATGGAAACATATTTTTAGTGTTTCCAGCATGAGATACATAGAATCAGCCATTTATCAAAGTTACCAAAAACATTTCCATTTCACATAGCATTTTGCTCATCACACAACTATGTCCTCCAAAAGCTTTTGGTAAAGAGATGAACTCATTTCTACCCATGAAACCAATAATACGTTTTTATTATATTACTAAGAAAGACCATTAAAGGAAAGGAAAATAGTCATGGGAAAGTTGCCATATGTATTTAAAATATAAATAATTAGCTTTTTTTGTGTGTTTCCCAAATGATAATTGAATCTTAATCTCCCTCTATGTAGGATATTTATGCTATACTAGTAATTTAGAAAACATTTATTTGAAGCATATGGGTTTAATGAACACTTATTTTGTTTTTCATGAAGAAAAGAATAATATTTCCATTAATTTCAAAAGAGACTTCATTTCTTTCAGTGAACTTCTTAAAGCTGAACTGCTTTCCTCTAGGATTGTGTACACTGTAGACATTTTATAAAGTAGCCTTATATGATATAGTAGTTTTTTTTTTAATTTGCCATCCTTCATTGTCAATTTTTATCTCAAACTAGTTATGACTTTCAGAGCTAAAGTTTCTATTATAATGATTAAGTTAATTATGTACAGGAATGTATTACCCTCCACAATGCACAGGTTTGTCTACATGCTAAAAATCTAAACTCCAGCTCTACATTTGTCCGGGCACTGACAGACCATTAATCAACTATGACAATTATTCCATTATTTCACAAATATTTTTGAGCACCATCCTACTGTGTACCCCTTAAAGAGCTTATTTATAGTAGGCAAAACTGGCACATGAATAGGAAATTAAAATATGATGTAATAAATGCTATCATGGAGTCTCTATAGGAACCTTTAGAGGGCATCTCCAACTTAATTTGAGTAAGAAATGCAGTGTTGGAAGATCAAGGACTTAGCCCAAAGAATGTAATTTCTAAACTGTCATGTCATGAAGACATGAAGCAAAAAACACCATTGGCAAAGTGGGCAATCTAAAGCATAGGCCTATAGGCAAAAGAGAACATTTTGAGTAATTCTAACATATCTGAGTGACTGAGGCCAGAACCTAACAGATGTGTCTGAAGGTATATGCATGGCTTGTATGCTATGCAAAAAAAAGAAAAGAAAAAGAAAAAAATTGAACATTATCCAAAGGCAATGGGGAACTAGGAGTTTAACCTATAAAGCAGTGTAATTAGATTTGTATTTTAGCTAGGCCATTTGGAGTATGGAGGTGTGTACATGGACGCAAGACCAAAGCAAAGCAAAACAAAACAAAACCAAAAAACAAAAACAAAAAAACAGTGAGAGGGCTCTTCAGAAGAAATGATGATAGACTAACATAAAATAGTGGCAACAGAAATCCAGGAAATTTGAGATTGAAAAGAATTTAGGAGGTAAAATATGCATTTTTAGGGTGAGGATGAATGCTGGTTCAGTACAAGACTCTGGGTTCTGACTTATATATTGACAATGATGGT